TACACCGACTCCTGTATCCATTGCTATTTCTGATTCTCTTTACACTTCAAGAAATACGAGAAACATTTACTTACAAACATCGCGGAGTCTTACAAGAGACATGTATGTTGGTGATGCGTCGGTTTGATGTATTAATAGACTAATGACACCTCAAAGCATATGATACACAATGAGATAGTGTAACAATATTAGCACTCATTGTTTGTTTGTTTGTTTCTGAATTTCGCGCAAAGCTACACGAGAGCTATCTTCGCTAGCCGTCCCTAATTTAGCAGTGTAAGACTAGAGGGAAGGCAGCTAGTCGTCACCTCCCACTTGGGCTACTCTTTTACCAACGAATAGTGGGATTGACCGTCACATTATAACGCCCCCACGGCTGAAAGGGCGAGCATGTTTGATGGGACGGGGGATTCGAAACTGCGACCCTCAGATTGCGAGTCGAGCGCCCTAACCACCTGGCCACTATGCTGCCCACTGGAAAGATCACTACTGTATTTTATGTTCAATGAAAATCCTATTTCAGCAAATACTTATCTTACTGTTTTATCAATTTATTACTATAAATTACTGTTTTATATAATTATGGTATAACATTTGTACTTATATGGCTTTGAATCTAAAAATTAAACGCGGCAACCGGTCGAATCTTATTTGTGGTATATCTAGGCCTTTTTAACATGGAAGCCGACTTGAAATGAAAAATTTCATCAAAACCTTTTTTAGGGGTATTTTATAGTCACCTATCTGTAAGCTATTGTACTAATTATAAAACCTGTATAAACCAAAGATATGCAAACAACAGTTATGTTGTCTCTGAAATCTGTTAAATCACCAATAGAGCAGGATGAACAGCAAAAAGCTTCACTCTGGATTCTGTTGTGCTAAGTGTAAAGTTTCTATGGACAACAGTTATGTTGTCTCTGAAATCCAATATATTTCTACTAGTGTCCCATGAACAACGATAATCTTCACTCTGGATTCTATTGTGCTAAGTGTAAAGTTTCTATGAACAACAGATATGTTGTCTCTGAAATCCAATATATTTCCAGTAGAGTCGAATGAACAACGAGAATCTTCACTCTGGATTCTGTAGTACTATTAACAGAGCATTGAGAAAGATTAACAATTTTTTTTTCTGGATCCTGATAATCTACCAGTAGATTCAGCTGAATTTTGATAGAGCTTCAATAGGAACAAATGTTTTCTCCCCTCGATTTTGTGATATTTTTATTCAATCCTGGATCCACAGTATATATATCCCCCCTGTGTTCAGTTATATTACTAGCAGTCCTGGACAAGCAACTGTTATATCTTCTCTGGATACTATTGTGTTACCTGTAGAATCTGGATGAAAAAGAAATATTTTTCCCTCTGAATTATGTTTTACTGGCTTTAGAACCTGAATGAATAAGTGATACTTTTACTCTTGCTTTTCATGTACCTCATAACACATATTTTCTGACAGGATTTATTTCACTAGCCTCAGAACCACCATAAAAAATACAAAATAAATCAAAATTATATTTTTTTTTCTGTCTAGAATTACTTCAAATCGTAACAGGAAACTACATTTGCTTACACTAAGTAACTTTAAGCTCTTAGTATTATACGTCTGTTTCTAATTACATTTTATTGTCAAAACTGTCCTACTTTGTAACAAACTGTTGGCAAAACGTCTGCATCTAGATGGGTATCGTATCAACTTAGTCGTATCGTATCAGCCCTATTACTTGTGCACACGAAACACTAAGAGTTATTGTAGGATCACGTAGGTATTTTGTACATATATAAACACAAATATTTGATTGGCTAATGGTTGATTTGGCTGAAATTTAGTTTGAAAAGTTCACGTAGGTATTTTGTACATATAAAACACAAACATTTGATTGGCTAATAGTTGATTTGGCTAAAATTTAGTTTGAAAAGTTCACGTAGGTATTTTGTACATATAAAACACAAACATTTGATTGGCTAATAGTTGATTTGGCTAAAATTTAGTTTGAAAAGTTCACCTAGGTATATTGTATACATATATATAAAGCACAAACATTTGATTGGCTAATAGCTGATTTGGCTAAAATTTAGTTTGAAAAGTTCACCTAGGTATATTGTATACATATATATATATATATAAAGCACAAACATTTGATTGGCTAATAGTTGATTGGGCTAAAATTTAGTTTGAAAAGTTCACCTAGGTATATTGTATACATATATATAAAGCACAAACATTTGATTGGCTAATAGCTGATTTGGCGTAAATTTAGTTTGAAAAGTTCACGTATGTATTTCGTGTTGACAAGTATTTAAAATTCCATGTAAATATAATGTATACAATTTCTTATTAATACAATAGGCACATTATATGTATTAGTAATTATACTATTGTGATGTAAACTTTCGTACTATTCACGTGGCGCGAAATACGTCTATACGTTTAAGATAAAGTTAATAGATGTATACTGTGATAAATTTGTTTTCCAGAAATTTTAATTTATAAATGTAATTTGAAGATAATACGCTTTGACATAAATAATTCAAAATTCGATTGTAAACACACTATTTAATTTTACATATTAAAATATTCCTCGATCGTGTTAAGACTACATATAACTTTCAATTTTTTTTTCTGTATCGTTCAGGCCTGGCATAGCCAGGTGGATAGGGCGCTAGACTCGCAATCTGAAGGTCGCGAATCCCCGTCCCACCAAACATGCTCGTCCTTTCAGCCATGGGAGCGTTATAATGTAACGATCAATCTCACTATTCGTTGGTAAAAGAGTTGGCGGTGGGTGGTGATGACTGTGTCTTCCCTCTAGTCTTTCACTTCTAAATTATGGACGGCTAGCGCAGATAACCCTCGTGTAGTTTTGCGCGAAATTCAAACCAAACCAGTCTCTCAAATCGTCTCTAATTTTTAACTGACACAATAGAGGGAAGGCAGGTAGCAAACAATATTCACTGCCAACTCGACCAATAGATGGAAGGCAGGTAGCAAACAATATTCACTGCCAACTCGACCAATAGATGGAAGGCAGGTAGCAAACAATATTCACTGCCAACTCTTGGACTTCTCTAATCGAAGAGTAGGATTTGACCGTCACTCTTATAATGCATCTGTTTGCTTCGATTTTGCATAATGGTATGCGAACCATGGGCCCTCAGATTCACAGTTCAGCACGTTAACGTTTAGATGTCACACCCGTCCCGTTATGTTAATACAATGGACATATTGTACTATAAAACTTGCAACTTAACAGTCACCTGTGTTTTGTAGTTGAAAACTGGATGCAGACATTCATCCTCCTTCAGATCCTTATGGATTTAAGGATGAGATCCATTTTTGGAGTTTTATACATAAATAATACTTTTCACATGTAGAGTTTCTAAAACATCACCACAGTTCTGTTTAAGAACTGTATAATTATTAACACAAGTGTTTGTTCTGTGGTTAAATTAAGTAAGGTATTTATATCGGAGCTGTTTGAGCTTAACGATGTTTTTGAAACTGTATACCACTATGTTGTACAAGGCTTATGTTAGAGATATACGACTGTTTCCGTTGAAGTTTAATGTGTTATGATTTAAATAGTTGATATAGCGAAAGTGTTAAATTTGGTTATTTTTAGAAGAGATATTTTACCGCAAGTTTGTTTACGTAATTGTTTAGGAATCATACTTTGTGTAGTTTATTAGTTATGTATACCAGTATTATGTACAAAGCTTACATGCTCTGCTTCCGTTTCTAATGGTGTATAATAAGTGTTTCGTAACACCGATTCTTCATTTAAAAATTAGCTATATGTCCTTAGTTCATAACATTTATAATTTATATCATTAGGCTTACACGTAAACTTTTAAGAAAATAAGTCGTACAGAATACACTAATGATAGATACCTAACGATGAGGTTATGTATGTAATATAAGCTGGAGATATTTTAACTTGAAATTAAGAACAAAAATTAAGTCTAGTTAGCCCTGTATAGAAGCCCGAAAATATTTAAAAACAGAGGAGTTAAAAACCCAGAGGGAATCATCAATAGCCATGGTACTGGAAATTCTTTTAGGCGGGATTAAAGTAAATTAATCTATGAGACCTTTTTGTTTTACCTTTTAATTAGCTATATTTTTGTGCGTGTATACCCGATTCAGTTTTATTCTCATCAGGATATCTACCACCCTACCTTTAAATTGAAATTCATTTAGGCAGGATTAGAGTAAATTAATCTGAAACCTTGGGCGTGGTCAGATATATCAATCGAAAGAGTTTGACCTCCTGAGTCCAAACCTGATCTCAAACCGATAAAGAGATGACGGAGCTATGAGCTAAAAGTGTGTACTTGAAAAACCCAGAGCCATTCTATGAGCCGTTATGCCGCGGCTAAAAATTGTTTACGTTTACCGAAGGAGGACGATTTTCCAACACAACCATTTATTGAGCGAACAGTTTAAGTGCCTACTGATTCACTGTAACGTTTTTACATGTTCTCACAAAACATGTAAGGAATAATAATAATATATACAATCAATAACAATTCGTCAACTAATTTTGCCTGCACAACGAAATATATTTTTAAAAAGTTTGCCAGTATTACGCACGTAACAAAACTGGACAAACCAAGGTTTGCTTCTTCTCTAAAGAAAGAATTTTGTGTTGTTTTTAGTTTCCTTCTATCGAAAACACGAGTATTTAACTTATTCTATAGCACTTTGTTTTATGAAAACAAAATTTACTGCATTATAGTGCTACTGAGTGGAAGGAAACTCGATAGTGATTTCGATCCTTTTATGAATGAAATACTTTTTTTATTGGATTTATTGTCATAATTTACGTCACTGTGATTAAATATACGTTTTCCCGCTACTATCATAAAATGTAAGCAATCACATGTAAATCCTGACCGCTATACCAAAAATAATGATATAAAACATTGAAGTGTTTCTGTATATCTGGTTGTGTTGTACTTCAATAATTCATTTTACTTTTTTTTTTTGTCAGAACCACACAGTCAGCAGGATAAAGAGAGGTAATCACCGTGAATCTTAAGATAAAATCGTCATTCCACGTAACAGGAGGAAAGCAAGGTTTCGGTGTGTGTTGAAAGTAAATGTTACTTAAAAAACAGTAATATTTAAAGAATTAATTTTCCAGTACTTCAGAGTATCAGACAACGAGCGTATGACGTGAGTTAAGCGGAGGCGCGACGTTTTCACTCCAGCAACCCGATCACTTCTATAGGCAGGATCGTCGTCCAGATACGAGGAACGGCATGTCCACCTTAAAGTAGATAGTTCTTATTCCTGAGGGCAACATCTTTCGGTATCTAAACAACACATGACGTTAACATTGAGCTAAGGCGTAGTTCCTATCGGTATAAATATCTGTACAACAATCGTAAAGTTTTGAAGAGTTCGTCTGTGGATTGGTTATTAGACAACTTAGTTTTGCTGTGTTGTTGCTTTTTCAGGCTGATACTGCAATGCGATATACGTGTAAGAACGTGAGCAGCGACACACGCGGTGTGCGTAATGGTAGAAACTGTTCTCCGGGAATTGTGATGAAGTACCAGTTTTGACATAGGTAGAGGACGGTTATAAAGGTATATTTAGTTGGTTTTTTTAATTAGTTCTGTGTTTCGAAGTACACCAGTCATAATGAATCAAAAGACATCGGGAAGTAAAGTACCCAGCAAAATAGCTAAACCAACTTCCAGACCAGCAGTAGCTCCCCCACACAATTCTCAATCTCTTACTGCAGCAGCCAATGAAATAAGAACAGGTAAGTCATACATATTTCTCATAAAGCTCTTCTTAAAGTGTTGTATGTCACCTCTGTTGATAAATACTTATCACCAAGTAAACCTTTTTGCCTGTCTTTATTTTTTCCGTGTTTTCGTTACTGTTTATTTTTAAAATCGTGACGTATCATTGTTTCATCACTAGTTTTAGAATTACTAAATTCTACCAAAAGATGGCGCCATCGTACTTTTCTGTTAATACGGACCATTCGTTTCTGGATACGATTTATTTTTATTATTAAAATAGAAAAAAGTTTGGAATAATGTGTGGTGTAAGTAAAAGTAAAGTTACAATTCATATTAATTCTTCACGTTTCCTAATAAAACTGTATGCCAAAAGATGTATTCTGCTGTTAAATATTACTGTAGATTGATAAAATTTAACGCTATAAATATTTAATCATTTCTATATGTAGATTAGAAGAAAATAATTAGCATCTGTATTTAAGTAACCAGTATCGGGTTTATGGCTTTTTTTTTAGATATTAGATCTAGATCAGAATATGTTATCTGAGTGAGAAGCTTTGTAAACATTATTTATCAACTTTTATTCAGATTATGTGAGAAATTCCATTCTTCCCTGGGAAGAAAATTGTAGTAATTGTAAATAGTAGTAATTGTTTTAGCTTTAGCTGAACCTTTCAGTAAATATAGAAACTATGTTTCGGCACTTGATATCGAGGGAAGGTACTTTGAGTAAACTATCTTAATAGTGAAAGCACAGGCTTCCACCACATTCACACACAGTGTTAATCTTGTAATTTCTTGAATTTTATATAGTGTTGTTTGTTTTTTTATGCTGTATAGAAGCTACATATTTATAGGATAAAATTTAGTTTAGCATATGACTATAAAATCCATTTATTGGAAATATTCTCAAAGGTATGTAACCACGTTATATTTCCCATGAATTATATTAGTTTAAATTTGTATTGTATTAATACAACCACAAATACTGTCATTTTATAGAAAAAAGGAAAATTTTAATCATGTAAAATAGACATAGATTTTTTTTCGTGACTAAATACGTCATATATTAATTTAGCTTGTATTTGAACCCATCTTTCAGTGGTCTTCATAATATGGAACATCTAGCTGATGAAAAATTCTTAAGTGTTTCAAATCCTGTGGGCTTAAATACAACTTAATTGATATGTGAATTAGTAGTCTGAAAATATCTTTTTTTATTATTATCAGATTAGACGTAAGTTTGAAATGACATGTTTACACTGTAAATTAAAACTACTTTTGCCACGTTCCTTTTATTTTACTATGCAATACGATGACAAAACCTTGTCGAAACGTTGTACATTTGCTGTTATGTTAAACTTATATTAAAGTTTTTCTTCATTACCCATTCAAGCCGTCTCCAGCCATTATAAGCTGTTTTCGTTTAGTTTACCTGTTGTAGATTAGAGGAAAGGCAGCTAGTTAACACCACTCACCGCCAACTCTACAGCTACCCTTTACCAACGAATAGGATGACTGACAGTCACATTCATACGCCCCCACGGTTGAAAGAGCGATCATGTTTGGTGACTGATTTCGCTCCCGTGGCCCGCAGCTTGTGAGTCAAGCGCCTTAACCATTAGGCTAATTTTAGCAGAAGAAAAATTGTAAAGTGCCTATCAGCCACAATGTTAGAAATAAGCATTAAAACGTAAAAGTACTTTAATAAACTAATTATTAAAACGACAAAATTTAGTTTTAAGTCAGATAACTTAGTGTTTTTTATTTATATAAAAAGCAGTTGAATCTAGAAGTAAACGCTATTTCTGCTTGAATGAGCCATATATCTGCATTTCACTGCAACATTACTTTTAATCTGTAAAGCAAGTGCATCAGTTAAACCACTTGATATCTATATTGAAAGGTTCTCATTCCTTTTGACTAAACCCATTCAAGCCGTCTCCAGCCATTATTCGTCTCAAAGTGGGTTCTTCGTCATCGAATTTGAAAACAGCTTATGAAACTAAATAAATTTGTGATACAGAAATGTTTCAATCATGAGATGACTTCTAAACTTAATCTTAACATAGAGAATATAAACACATGAAATTTAAACAGAATATTGTCAGTTTAAGAGGAGTGTGCCCGTTGTTTTCATTTAGGATTTTGTGATTCTTCAAAAAACTCGATTTTTTTATTCAAATGTTAAATAGTAAAAAGTTCAGTGTAATTAACTATGTGACATATTACATAATTCTATATTTTTTTTTTAAGATTATTGCATATTTACTTCTAGAGCGCAGAAGATAGCCCTCGTGTAGCTTTGCGCGAAATTCAAGCCAAACCAATTTAGTTCTAGTAGTGTTCTTGATGAACAACCTTCTAGCGGATTGATATGTAATTCTGTTTCTAATTTTTAAAACTTACAGTCTACATACGTTGTGAAGATGACCCAATGTTGAATACATTGCTAGTTTTTGTGCTGTTGACGTACAAGATAAGTGTGCGAGTTTTAGCTTGTGCGATATAATATTGAAAACCTGTGTGTAATACAGGACTCGCGAGAACCTTGATAAGAATCATGTGTCAGGAAGAAAAAACTACAGTTGGTTCATAGTACGATAAATGATAGACACATTTTCTAATAGATCACGAGGTGGTTACTTCAGAAATCTCTTCAGCAGTGCATAGAGTATCAAATGATCTAACAATTAATTGAAATCTTTAAAGCAAGACATAGAACAATGAAAATATCAGCGTAACCTCTCCGAATGAATATTAATTAGCTACTGAACTATACCAGTCGTTTTTTTTATGTTCAAAATTAATTAAATGTACAAAATATTCTACTGAACTAACAGATGCCCAAATCACATATTTCTACCTTTATTTTTAAATAACTATCTGAAAAGTAATCCACAAAGCCCATAAAAAGTGCGAAACATATTTTTACTAGATTTTGCTTGAGTTTTAGTGTACTTAAACATGGCGCATTTTAGAGTTGTAAATTTGGTGAAACATCATAGTAAAATAATTTCAATAATTTTCTTTCTATTGGTCCAACGCTAGAATTCGGGGTTCGATTCCCCGTGGTGGACAGGACGCGGATAGCTCTGTGTGTAGTTTGCTCTAAAAACGAACAGATTTTACTAACTCATATCATAAAGATGTGCTCAGATTTGGAATTTATACTTTTCAAGGCGGGAATATTCCTTGTACTTAACGACATTGGAAAATAAAGGAATATGGATAAACTTGGAGCACCAGGACCCACCAGAAAGAAAGCCACAAGTTGTACCACAAGCAGAGTAAAGAGTCTTATAACAGGTAAGAATCCAAGAACACAAATGTCAGCTACAAAAGTTGTTCATGTGCCTCAGGCAACAGCACACAACATAATCAAGAAGTATCTTCACCACCACCACCAACAATAAAAAGCATCAGAAGTTGCTTTCAGGACAGGAAGACCAACTGTAAAGAACTGTATGATCGGTACTCAGCTGTGGTACGTGGTGACACTCGACGAAGATGTGTATCATAATAACTGTAACGAGTCTCGAAACATTTTCTACCAGTCAATAGGTGAAAACAGCTTCGCGAACCTTTTTTTTCTCCAAGAGCATCCATTTAAACTAATTCAGGGACAAGTTGTGGATCAGAAGAGTCCACACAAAAGCCAAGATGGACTCTATTCACTATCAGACCAATGCTCTGGACCCTTTCTACCTATTGCCCGACGTGGCCAGGTGGTTAGGGCGCTTGATTCGCAATCTGAGGGTCGTGGAGGCGTTATATAGGTACGGTCAATTCCACTATTCGTTGGTAAAAGAGTAGCCCAAGAGTTGGCGGTGGGTGGTGATGACTAGCTGCCTTCCCTCTAGTCTTACACTGCTAAATTAGGGACGGCTAGCGCAGATAGCCCTCAAAACAAAACAAATCCTTTCTACCTCATAGAAATACTAGCTAAAAGCAAAAAGAGGCCAAAAGGGTGCGGGTTAACATTAAGCATCTGGTGATTGTAAAGAGCATTCTCACCTGATCCTACTACACTGGTTTATTGTTTTATAAACAAATGTTACTTTACATGTTTCAAATATAAATATAACTAACAAGGGTATGTATTAAAAACAGTTGTACACACACGAACAGAAACTTTTCCGTTATATAACTTGTAGAATAAACATGAACGTTCTCTGCAAGCTGAATATAATTTTTAGGACTTGATTACGATTTTTCATCTTCTTTATTTCTTGAATTTCCGCACATTTTAGTCGCTACATTAATGACTATCATACATATATATATCTCGTTTAATTTGTTTAATCTCGTTGTTAACTGATTGGGATTTCGTATTACAGCTTGTGTCTAGACTGATAACTTGTTATCTTGTCTCGTGGGAGTAAAATATGAAACTCGATGGCCAACTCGTTCTTTACTGAGAGTTATATAATATATATCACTGTGCAATTATACAAACATCTAATCAACAACTTTTTTTAACAGTTTCTCTCACTGAAACACGTATAAGGCAAGCAGTCGACGCCAGAGGTTCTTCTGTCGAGAACCTTAAGCAGGAAAACGTCTACTACGACATAATTTATGCATTTCATACTCCTTCCCGGCGACTCGGCTGAATATTAAGGTTTTTATGACACTAAATTTTTGGGTTAGATCCCTGCTATGGACACAATGCGTATAGGCCATGGCGAATCTTAGTGGCTAACAAAATAAAGCATCGCACACTTGACGCTTTTTTGACGGTTGGTTGCAGTATCATCAGTGCTAATGTGTAAAATTGCCTTTGATATATAATGATATTTGCTTTCAAAGGAATAGTACTGATCTTCGTATTTAAAGTTGTTTTACTGATGCTTATAGTTGGAAGATATTTAACACGAGGCTGCATCTCCTCCGATTTTAGTATGTACATTGAGAAAAGTGTATCATGGATATGTTGGTGATATTTTTTGTTTGTATTAAATTGGCTGTTGATATACGGGATGTATAATGTGATTAGTGTTTTCAAGAAATG